ATAATCTATAGAAAATGTAACGATGGTAGATTATTATTTTATGTTCTTTTGAAATCGAGCGCATAGGTAGAGACAAAATGTTATCATTTCCGCCGAAAACAGGCAAGGGATGTTTTCTGCACTGCATCCAGAGAGGGGAGCAAACTGTTCAAACTAATTCATAATGATCATTATGGTCCAGTCGACCCAGGTAAAGTAAAAAACATATTTTTCGTAGTTATCGATGGTTTCACAAAACTCGAACGTTTATATACCAGAAAAGCAACTAATACACAGGAAGTTTTTACAGCTCTAAAAGATTATTTTAGAGTATAAATGGGCATGCCTTGACTCCCAGAGCTCGGCAGGCTATATCTCAAATTTGATGAAAATCTGTTGAAAACTGAAAAAGTTATAATTTTTAATTGTATTAATTTTTCGATCGTTCCTATGGCAACTGTATGTAGTAGTGAAAATTTTCGATAGCACAGCAGGAGTATCTAGAAAGTTAATTCCGAAAAATTAGGCGTATGGTCTTGCGAACGTATTTAGAAATGACAGGATTTTGTTGAAAGACGTAGAATTTCAGGTGTCCCGTGACCCATGCCAAGGTATCTGGAGCATCAAAATATTAAGCATTGGACAGGCAACAAGAAAAATAAACGAACGCATAAGTAAACAAGAGCAAAGAAAAACGAAAAACGAAAAACATACACAATGTGTAAATATGTATTAATATAAGGAAACAAAGAGAAGAATTTTAAAATCATTGTACACCTACTAATAGATTTTATAAACTGATGAGCAGTGTGGCCAAGTTGTTGGAGGATAGAGGAGAAGAGGAATACGAGGAACGCGCCATTCTGATACTCGAAGCGAAAAGGTGTGAAACTTGAATCAACTATTATAAATGAAATAAGGCACCGATATTGCCTTCCACATAAGGTAAGGATCTACTCAAATAACCAAGCGGCCATCAAATCTCACGCAACATCAAGGACTACGTCAACACTAGTGGCCAAATGAAAAGAGGCACTAAATAGACTCGCAGAAAAAAACATGGTACGACAGGCAACGACATCCCAGGAAATCAGAGCTGGCCAGGAAGGAGAACTCTGTCTCTCTCCGTCGGACGGAAATTCACGTTAGTCTTCTATACACTCTCACTCGTATGTATGTATGTCCGAACGGGACGGATCGGACGACTATGTCACATAGCTGCCATAGGAATGATCGTAAAATTTTTACAAGAAAAATTATAACATTTTTAGTTTTCAACAGAATTTGATCAAATTTGAGATATGGCCATTTCATATTATTCTACAATTTTTTGTAAAATTTTATGAAAATCGGACTACTATATCATATAGCTCCCATAGGAACGATCGAGAATTTAATAAAATTAAAAATTATAACTTTTCCAGTTTTCAACAGATTTTCATCAAATTTGAGATATAGCCATCTTTATATTAGTCTTAAATTTTGTGACAAATTTTATGAAAATCGGGCGATTATATCATATATGTGCCATACAAAACGATCGTTAGATGTGGAGGAAAAATACAAATTTGTGAATGTAAAACTGCAAATATAATATGTATATGTGAACGAAATGAAAGAAGGTATTACTTCATTGTTTTTTAACATAAATATTATATATATAATTTATATTGTATGGATTCCTAGTCATCGTAGTTCTATCTGCAAGGGTATAAAAACTTCGGCGTGCAGAAGAAAGCTTCCTTTATTGTTGGTAGTAAAATATACATATATGTACATACATACATTGTTGGAATTAAAAAATCCAAGAAGGTCGGGATTAAATGAATTTGGTATTAATACCTTTTTAAGACCTTGGCCCGATATCATGCCTACTTGGGCATAAATTCGGCATTAACTTTACTATACTAAATTTATTATTTTATACTTGTATTATTTGGTTTAACAAACCTACATTTCGATGCTCCTTATTCTAAAAGTGACTGATCTGGTCGGAAAAACAAAATACCAATTTTGAAAAAATCGCTGTCAAAAAATTTAAAACTTATATTATGAAAGCATATATGTACATACATACTTACCAGAGTTTATATTGGGTTTGAATGAAACCGCATCCTCAATATTGAACTACAGTCGAGTCCCGATAATTCGAAATGGCAGAGGGATCACTTTTTTTACGAATTAGACGGGAATTCGATTTATCGAGATTTCTATTTAACGGGGCTCAAAAATGAAAGAGTCGAATAAACGGGGCTTTTAATTAAAATTAAACAAACATTGTAAGTATGTACATTCATTTGTACGTTTTTCAAATTAAAGGAAAATAAAACAATAACATAAAACTATAGTAACAAAAAATTAAACAATTAAGCAGAAACATTAAATTATAAAAAATAAAAATTCAAGCTTTAAAATAATTGGTAATTTTTGATTGCTTGGTGTTTTCTTTCTTTTATTTCTTTCCATTGCGTTTTCTAAACCTATTAGGTTGTCAAAGACACTTTTTGGCACATCATGGGTCGAAAAATAATGTTTAAGTTGAGGAATTAATGCTCTGGCTTGTAAATTCGTTAAAATTTGTTCTCCATCGGCGTCATCATCCTAGTCACTTTCAGAATTGTTGGGCAAAACTTCCTCCAAAATTGGCTTGCATTATAAACTCTTTTTTCTGTAGAATTGATGTTATTGTTGATGGAGCGACATCGAATTGTTTTGCCACCTCAATTTTCTTTCTTCCATTATCAATCGCCGAAATAATGCTTTGTTTTTGCGCGATTGATAACGTCTTTTGCGTACGTTTTTGTGACATCTTCACAGAACGATGTTATTCTCCGAAAAAAATCAGAAAACTTAAAGAAAACAGCGAGAGAAACACAAAATTCATAATGCATAGCGACATAAAGGCTACATAGCTGTCTGCAAAATCTAACGGTCTTTAACTACAAAAAATTTCGCATCGCATTACGATTTATAAGAGGTTACGAAACAAAATTACGATTTATAAGAGTTTCAATATTCATTGCGTTGCGCCAAATAATACGAATTAACGAGGGGACCAAAATGTATGGAGTTTTTACGAATTAACGAGTTTTTTTTTTCAAGGGGACATAATTTTTTACGAATTATCGCGATTTTTGATTTAGCGGGGTACGAATTATCGGGATTCGACTGTACTACTAAAAAACATTATACATAACTGATGCACTTCAGGCCCCACAGATTATGGAAAATTGTTTTTTTTTTAAATTTAGAATAATTTTTAAAGAACAAATTTAATTTAAAAAAAATCACATTTAATATTTAATTTTCAGGAATCCTCAGCGGAATACCGCATCATAGCAAGTCTCTTTGGTGTGTTCAGAGCAGTAGGGTGCCAAATGGTTTTGGAGTTTTGTTCTGAGGTTAGCAAAATAATTGGTGGCGAGTTTTTGCCACAATATTTTTTCGCTCAAGAGAAAATCACGAAAAAGTTAGAAGATTTGAAGATATTGGCTTTCCATAACACTTTGGAGCAAAGTCATTTATATAAAGTTAAGCTGGGGATGCAGTGGGTTATAGTAACTACAAGGGTTGGCACCCAACAATTTACTTTGGTGGATTCTTGGTGCATAATGAAATTTTTAAATTCGTTTAATAGTATAATATTCTATAAATATGTGTGAATTCCAGTTTGAAATGGAAAATGACAAATTGAATAATTTCCCTGTCCAAGGCCCTATGCTTTTATTAGAGGACTCTGCATTTAGGCTTTCAAATAATCTTATTAAACCATATCACATTTCTGTGCAATAAATTAAAAAGCTAAGATTATTTAATTACGATATATGCAGCACATAATTGATCTGTTCTTGATAGCTGGCAGGGAGAGGTAGACTTATCAGCTTATGCTGCTATATTGTGTAAATTATTGTAAACTAGGAAACCTGGCGAACTTCGTTTCGCCACCAGATGGCTTCGTTTTATGTAACATTCCGTTTGGTGACAAAGAAATTAAAAGTTTTTTTTTATATTTGAAAAGTAATGGAGTCAATTTAACTTTTTCACTTGCGCAGCACAATCCCGCCGTTTCTCTTTTGAACTTTAACGCATTTGCAATATCGGCATATAGTCGTCATTGGTCCAATATCTAAATTTTATAAATTTATTTATAGATTAATTCTTATACCCTTGCAGGGTATTATAATTTCAGTCAGAATTATGCAACGCAGTGAAGGAGTTACTTACGACCATAGCCATGTCCGTCTCTCCGTTTTGGTGATTTCTGAATAAAACTTTATAGTTAGTCTTCTACGTATATATGCCGGAAAGGGCCGGATTGGACGACTATGTCATATAGCTGCCATAGGATAAATCGGAAAATGAAAAAAAAAAAATTTTACATTTTTACTTTTTAACAGAATTGTATCAAATTTGAGATATAGCCATCTTATAATATTCTTAAATTTTGGTTAAAATGTTATCGGACTACTATATCATTCAGCTGCCATTAGAACGATCGAGATTTAAATACAATAAAAAATTATTACCTTTTCAGTTTTTTTCTATAATTATCTACAATTTGGTGTAAAATTTAATGAAAATCTGAGTACTATATCATACCGCTACCATAGGATGTTCCAATTGCAATGTGCTAGAGTGTACAAAAAGTGAAACAAAAATAGCACTTGACCCTTAACAAAGAATATTATATCTTTCATATTGGATGATTCTATAGATAACTAACCTCTTTAGTGGCGATTAAAATAAAATAATAATAATAACAATATTTTTAGGGGATCTGTATAAATTTATTTATTTTTCATTAAAAGTAAATCAGTCAATAACTTAAAATATATTATTACATGAATTATGGACTTCAAACGAAAGCTAAGAAGTGCAAAATCGTTAAGACCACATGATCAAAACATATCAGTCTAATAGCGCTCCAATTCGGCACCCGAAAATGATGTGGTCTCTATCGCTACTGTATCTTATTCAGTTTTTAATATGTAAAAGCAAATTAAACCACATGAGTATTCTCATTATTGTAAAAGTTCGGATCTGTCTTGAGAAACTTTAATCATATAATAAACCTGCTGCCTAATCGAATTCATTTTCTTTATATTATGCTTGCACTTCTATTCTTTTCATCAGACGTTCAGCTTCCGGTATTGCCTGTACAGTTTCTTCCTTACATAATGTTTGGCGGAAAGCTGCTCTGGAGGCTGCGGCTAAATGTTGATCGTCCGTGGAATGCTCGCTTGCCTGCGACATTGAGAATCTAGCCGAACGGTTAATAGGAGCTGAAATACTGAAATATTCCTAATTTACAACATTGTCAAGTCAAAATTTAGTATGTTAAGCTTACTTGAGCGAGTATGTTGAATGATACATCGGTGGTGGAGTATTTATTCCTACGTAGGTTGCTGTTGACGTTGAGGAACAGGGAGTGTGGTGGTAAAAGAAGGTGTACTCGTTAATCGAGGACAGGTATGATGGCGGTGGTGGGCGGTGGTGGAACTCTGGATATAAGTAACTACCAGATAATATACGATTGCTGCATTGCGGACTATTGCAATTGCGACAGCTTTCCATACGTCTAAAGCAGGTACACTCATCTACGTCGTCTGGTAAACTCAGTCGCCAAATAGCGCCGGATATTACCAATAATGAAACACCGATTCCAATCATCAAGAGAGCCGCGCTTAAATATTGAGTTGAGTGCTCTATAAGACCAGTGCTACCTAACACAATGCCTCCAAGGGTGCATGCTACCCCGCCAAGAGCGAAAATTCCGATTACGAAAGGCAGCGAAGGGCGAGAGAACCACTTTCGTAAGCTACATCCTGCAATTAAATCTGATCTGGACCTTGATACTACAGGTAAGTTATTGCATGCTAAAGGAATAATTTCGTTATTCCGGGTCAGGGGCACTGCAACATCTAAAAGTGTCCTGCAAATAAAATAGTTTTAAAACATCTGCATTACTCATTGGTTTCGGTTCTACCTGGTCGAATTGTACGTTTATCTATTGTTTAGCTTTAAAGATATATGTATGTATATAAACTCGCAGGTAGGCAGCTGTCTTTTCTAAACCTATTGTATTGTTGTCGGGAACGTCCTGGGAACCTTGCCATACTATTTATTCGGACAGGGTATGTAACAGACAGAAGGAAACATCTTGAACCCCGTAACTAAATATATTCTTGATTGATTTAGCCATGCTAGTCCTACAGTCGGTCTGTCTTTCAAACTGTCAGTGTGTATATCAATGAAAACATCCGTACTCAGAGACTATAAGACCATTTTAGGACAACAATATTATATGTAGCACGCAGATTTAAAATCAATAGCCACCTTTTTATAATATGGGAGGTTAAAAATAGCCATTTTAAGATAGGGTTTAAAATACTGCAAATTTGCATTATTTCTTGGGGACGACCGGTCACGTACTCGACTATTGCAGCTGCAACTTTTTAAATAAAGGTTATTTTTATTCAAGAACACTTGTTCTTAAAACATGACTCACGGAAAATTCGTTTCTATGGCAGCTTAATGAAATTTTAGAATAATACTATATATACTAGAGAAAGTTCATGCTTATACCTTGAAAACTAACATACTATTTTGCATAGAAACGGTCAAATGGACGGACGGACGACTACATCGACTCGGCTGTTGATGCTGATCAAGAATATATATACTTTATATGGTCGAGGCGACTCCTTCACTGTGTTGCAAACTTCTGACTGAAATTATAATACCCTGCAAGGGTATTAAAATGGTGTATCTCACAGAGAGCACTGTGGATTTTAGCTTCCTTACTTTTTGATTATACAAATATATGTAAGTGGTTTTTAATAAATCCTACATTTATACTTTAAACTTAAAGTCTGACGTATATAGTTTTAAAATTAAAATTCGACTAAAACTGGTACGTCGATGGAAAGCTCTACCCTCATCAACGACACCAGGCATTAGAGGGATGCATTTTAACACAATTTTCATTACCTGTGTTCATGGTGAGCAGAAAGATGCTGATGCTGGTGCGTCAGTCCAAGTCCCAAGCTGCCAATTATTGGTCTCGAGTGACAGTACTGGTGATAATGCAAGTATCTGGAGGTGTCGGTACCATTCGCCGAGTTGCCGTTCATAAATGGCGGTGCAACTCCTGTCCCTGCCATATGGTCATTCGCAAGTAAAGCACTTCCATCAGGGCGGTGGTGGGGGTCCAGAAAAATGGCTGTGTACTGGGGTGGGTATCCATTGGGCACAGTCGGCGCTGAGGTGGTGTGTACAGAGAGCGCGGTAGAGGTTCGCTTAGTTTTGGTCTCAAGAGTCTTCCGGATTCTATTGCATTCAGAGTCTGATCTGACGCTCGAGTTCAACATCTCCAGTGCCGCGGCAGGCGCAGGCGACATATGGGAACACGGCCGTAGCTCGCTGCAAATACTGGACTCACGTACGTTACTTTCTGAGATAGTGGGGTTCAAAATAAACTGCTCGAACTGAAATTCTTCTTCGAGTCTTTCTGGTTGGGTATCTAGCATATATGCATGTCCTAGGGGTACGTCCTCTTTGCTATGGGTTCGTCCCACGATATCAGGGTCGTGCGGCTTAGAGTTTTCATGCCTAAGTCTGTGACTGCGGAGACTGCTGATATTCTGGCTTGAGTTAAACACAACTTCCGGTACAACAAGCGGCAACGCAGAACTCGGAATGTGCACTAGAGAGCTCGAGACAGAGCGCTCGTGACCCATGGATCCCAGAACTGTACCGTTTTCGAAGACAACGGGGATGGGTTGGGTTGAAGCCATAATAGGGCGGATGCGATTATTAAATAGCGTGCTTCAACGCTGTGCTATTTCTGTTACTATACGTCTCAAATTATAAAGATTCTATATTGTGCACTTGAACCCCATTTAGTTAGTCACAGATATCTGCCAATTCACTTTAATAACACCGCCATTTTGAGGTTTTTCTTAAATCCGTTTGTCGGACCTTCCGTGTGCTCGCACCACCAAAAACTGATTTGTATTGTGGTCGATTTTGTAGTATTTACGGCTTCTTTCACATCTGGTTTTTCAACTTCTCTACTTTGCGTCGACGCTGACGTCACGACTGTCTGACCAACCACCACTATCGTTGGCTTCTGCGCTGCCAGCTTGAGGCTGCGGATGCATCTCGCTGGAGTTGTGTTAGTGTGCTAGAGTATATAAAGACACCCTCGCACGCTCACCCTCGCTTCGCCCTTTACAGAAAAAAATCTCGTGTTTTTTTATTGCTCAGTAATAACATCTTCGGCGGTTCAATCATAGGGATGCAACATTTGTATGTACATATGTACAGCTAAGGTCAAGGCAATAGCAACATTACTAGATTCAGCTAATAAAATATCAAAATATTATCAGTAAGAGTCCAGCCCAATTATAATTTTTGGTTGGTTAGAAAGGAAAGTTTGAACAAGGAGGAAATGAGAAATGAAACAGTTTTCGAGTTGGCCTATTGCCAGTTTTCGATCGTTCATAAAACATTTTTGTTTTTTGAATTGGTATTTTGAAACAATGAGTGTCTAACTATTTTAGGAGTGCAGCTTGAAATATTAACGTCAAGTGCTTCTCCTTTCGTTTTTTATACCTTTGCAGGGTATTATTATTTCAGTCAGAAGTTTGCAACGCAGTCACCTCCGACCATATAAGGTATATATATTCTTGATCTGTATTAACAGCCTAGTCGATCTAGCCATGTCCGTCTGTCCGTTTCCATATTCGTTTCTGTTGAAAACTTTTCAACAGATATTCAAATTTGAGATATAGCTATTTTATATTATAATTATATTTACTGTAAAATAATTTGAAAATCGGACTACTATATTATATAACTGCCATAGGAACGATCGGGAAATTAATACAATTAAAAATTATAACTTTTTAAGTTTTCAACCGATTTTCAACAAATTTAAGATATAGCCCTTTTATGTTATTCTAGAATTTCAATTTTAATCTATATATCTAAAAATGCTCTGTTCGTGTCTACATCCTTCATAGACTTGAAAAGTCTGAACCGTTTAAGCCCAAATTTTTACACAACATGCGTTGAGGTTCCAGCTCGGTTATTGTCTACTTTTAATGTTGATAGCTTATCTGCATTTGCGAATATATAACTTTTTTCGCGTTTCCCCGTGCCCCTACTGCTGCGCCCTCTATTTTATTTTTTTGTTCAGGTTCAGTAAGTAAGTAAGTAACGAGGAATCAGCAGAAAGACGAGCAGATAGGCTTGAGAGAAAACGATTGAGAGTTAGGCAGTCGCGTTCTGCAGCAATCGATTTGATTCACTCTCAAAATAATGAACGCGACAGGGCAAGGGTAGCTGAAGCGCGTTTACAGCTTGCAGAAGATCAAAACCTGCAATACAATCGTCTTGCATTCAGATATAATCCAACTATTGATTACAGCTCGAATCGAATGTCGTTATTGGACGAATGCATCAGGTCTGCATATACCGTCAGGCTCTCAAATTCAAAAACGAACCAAAAGGATTGTGGTGCGCTTCCGGGAATGTGGAATTGCCTCAACTTGAAGCACCACTGCAGAATCGAAGCATTTCCTGTCGAACATTAGGAAATACAACTCTTGCTTTCAAATGACGCCATTTGGTGCGGAAATTATAACTGCACAATTCATGCCAACTTTTAAAATCAAAGAACAAATCTATCATAAAGCCGGTTCCCTGCTTCCGTTCCCAGACAGCGAACACAAATTTCTTCTTCTTGGTGATGATGGAAATGAAGTAGATGCACGTTATGGAATCAATACCTAAACGCTGGTGCGTTTATTCAAAACAGCAATCGATATGATGCCTTCGGATACCCATAAAATTGTCATTCATTCAGACAAAACGCCTGCTGGAGAACATATCAGGAGATATAATCCAACTATAGACGAAGTGGCAATTGTCATAGTCGGGGATCAGTTTCAACCTCGAGATATTATTCTCCATCGACGAAACGATCGATTGGTAAACGTCGCAGAAACTCACCGTTGTTACGATGCTTTGCAGTATCCACTAATCTTCTGGGATGGTGCCGATGGATACCATTTCAATGTGAAGATGGTAGATCCAGTCAATGGTGTAGAAACGAATAAAAAGTGCAGCGCGATGAACTTTTACTCATACAGGTTAATGGTTCGGAGGACCGATTGCAATCATATATTGAAATGTCGTCAGTTGTTTCATCAGTACATTGTCGATATGTATGCAAAAATTGAAACAGAACGTTTGCTGTTCCTCCGATTGAATCAGACGAAACTTCGGTCCGATGAATATATACATTTGCGGGATGCTGTGATGAATGACCGTAATACAACCAACGTTGGAAAGCTCACGATTTTGCCATCCTCATACATAGGTAGTCCACGCCACATGCATGAATATGCTCAAAATGCCATGGCATATGTTCGTTGCCACGGCCGTCCAGACTTATTTATCACCTTCACATGCAATCCAGCTTGGGACGAGATAGTACAGCTGTTATTTCCTGGACAATCGTATAGGGATAGGCATGACATCACAGCCCGTGTTTTCAGACAAAAGCTCAAGTCACTGATGGATTTCATTGTGAAACATGGAGTTTTTGGATCTGTGCGGTGCTGGATGTATTCAGTAGAATGGCAGAAGAGAGGATTGTCGCATGCGCACATACTGATTTGGCTGTATGATAAAATTACTCCAGATGAAATCGACGATGTTATATGCGCTGAGATTCCACGGGCCGAGGTTGATACGGATTTACATGAAGTTGTCATCAAGAACATAATCCATGGCCCATGTGGTACCCTCAACCCATGTTCACCATGCATGGTAGACGGGAAGTGTTCCAAGCGATATCGTCGAGCATTTACAGCCAACACCGTAACAGGGGACGATAGATATCCTCTGTATGGGAGACGGTCAACTGAAGATGGAGGGACTTCGGCAAATTTAAACATGAGAATTGGTGATATTGAGGTAGACAATCGTTGGGTGGTTCCATACTCACCACTATTGTCAAAATCATACAAAGCGCACATCAACATAGAATATTGCAATTCCGTGAAATCGATTAAATATATCTGCAAGTACGTGAATAAAGGCAGCGATATGGCAGTTTTTGGTGTTCAGGCAGAAAATGGTGACAACAATGCAGTACGAGTTGTCGATGAAATATCTCAATACCAGGCTGGAAGATACATAAGCAGCAACGAGGCTGCATGGAGAATTTTTTCGTTCCCAATTCATGAACGCTATCCAGCTTTAGTTCACTTGGCAGTCCATTTGGAGAATGGTCAACGTGTCTATTTCACAGAAAGAAATGTGCAAGAAAGAGTCCTGAATCCGCCAGCGACAACTCTGACTGCCTTCTTCACCTTATGCCAGGAAGATGATTTTGCCAGAACCTTGATGTATTCAGAAGTGCCCTCTTAACCATAATATGCCACAGAGAAACGTGGCAGGGTACAGCTAGTTTTATAAAATCTTGATGACTATATCATATATCTCCCGTACAAACGATTGTTAGAAAGATGAAAATGCAAAACGGTGAATGTAAAACTGTAAATCTAATAAGTATAGGTGAATAAAATGAAGGGAGGCATTACTTTATTGCTTTTTATACCCTTGCAGGGTATTATAACTTCAGTTAGAAGTTTGCAACGCAGTGAAGGAGGCACCTCCGACCATATAAAGTATATATATTCTTAATCAGGATCAACAGCCGCGTCGATCTAGCCATGTCCGCTTGTCCTTCTGTCCGTTTCTACGCAAACTAGTCTCTCAGTTTCAAAGCTATCTGAATGAAACTTTGTAGTTAGCCTTCTATGTGCTCTCACTCGTATATATGTCGGAACGGGCCAGATCGGACGACTATACCATATAGCTTGCATAAGAATGATCAGAAAATTAAAAAAAAAAAATTATAACATTTTCAGTTTTCAACAGAATTTGATTAAATTTGAGATATAGCCATTTTATACTCTACAATTTTGTGTAAAGTTTTATGAAAATCGGACTGCTATATCATATAGCTCCCATAGGAACGATCGAGAAACTAATACAATTAAATTTATAACTTTTTTAGTTTTCAACTTATTTTCAAATCAAATTTGAGGTATAGCCATTCTATATTAGTCTTAAACTTTGTGTCAAATTTTATGAAAATCGGACGACTATATCATATAGGTGCCATACAAACGATCGTTTGATGTGGAGGTAAAATGCAAATCTGTGAATGTTAAACTCCAAATATAATATGTACTAGCTGTACCCTGCCACGTTTCTCTGTGGCATATTATGGTTAAGAGGGCACTTCTGAATACATCAAGGTTCTGGCAAAATCATCTTCCTGGCATAAGGTGAAGAAGGCAGTCAGAGTTGTCGCTGGCGGATTCAGGACTCTTTCTTGCACATTTCTTTCTGTGAAATAGATACGTTGACCATTCTCCAAATGGACTGCCAAGTGAACTAAAGCTGGATAGCGTTCATGAATTGGGAACGAAAAAATTCTCCATGCAGCCTCGTTGCTGCTTATGTATCTTCCAGCCTGGTATTGAGATATTTCATCGACAACTCGTACTGCATTGTTGTCACCATTTTCTGCCTGAACACCAAAAACTGCCATATCGCTGCCTTTATTCACGTACTTGCAGATATATTTAATCGATTTCACGGAATTGCAATATTCTATGTTGATGTGCGCTTTGTATGATTTTGACAATAGTGGTGAGTATGGAACCACCCAACGATTGTCTACCTCAATATCACCAATTCTCATGTTTAAATTTGCCGAAGTCCCTCCATCTTCAGTTGACCGTCTCCCATACAGAGGATATCTATCGTCCCCTGTTACGGTGTTGGCTGTAAATGCTCGACGATATCGCTTGGAACACTTCCCGTCTACCATGCATGGTGAACATGGGTTGAGGGTACCACATGGGCCATGGATTATGTTCTTGATGACAACTTCATGTAAATCCGTATCAACCTCGGCCCGTGGAATCTCAGCGCATATAACATCGTCGATTTCATCTGGAGTAATTTTATCATACAGCCAAATCAGTATGTGCGCATGCGGCAATCCTCTCTTCTGTCATTCTACTGAATACATCCTTCACCGCACAGATCCAAAAACTCCATGTTTCACAATGAAATCCATCAGTGACTTGAGCTTTTGTCTGAAAACACGGGCTGTGATGTCATGCCTATCCCTATACGATTGTCCAGGAAATAACAGCTGTACTATCTCGTCCCAAGCTGGATTGCATGTGAAGGTGATAAATAAGTCTGGACGGCCGTGGCAACGAACATATGCCATGGCATTTTGAGCATATTCATGCATGTGGCGTGGACTACCTATGTATGAGGATGGCAAAATCGTGAGCTTTCCAACGTTGGTTGTATTACGGTCATTCATCACAGCATCCCGCAAATGTATATATTCATCGGACCGAAGTTCGTCTGATTCAATCGGAGGAACAGCAAACGTTCTGTTTCAATTTTTGCATACATATCGACAATGTACTGATAAAACAACTGACGACATTTCAATATATGATTGCAATCGGTCCTCCGAACCATTAACCTGTATGAGTAAAAGTTCATCGCGCTGCACTTTTTATTCGTTTCTACACCGTTGACTGGATCTACCATCTTCACATTGAAATGGTATCCATCGGCACCATCCCAGAAGATTAGTGGATACTGCAAAGCATCGTAACAACGGTGAGTTTCTGCGACGTTTACCAATCGATCGTTTCGTCGATGGAGAATAATATCTCGAGGTTGAAACTGATCCCCGACTATGACAATTGCCACTTCGTCTATAGTTGGATTATATCTCCTGATATGTTCTCCAGCAGGCGTTTTGTCTGCATGAATGACAATTTTATGGGTATCCAAAGGCATCATATCGATTATTATTATTAATGGCCATCACAATCCTATCGGGTCACAGCCTGTTGCACAATCTGCCTCCACGCTTCCCTGTCCTGGGCCCGCGCTCGCCAGTTGGTAACACCAGATGTAGACAGGGCTTCCATCACCTGGTCCTGCCAACGTATCCGGGGTCGTCCTCTCCTCCGTTTTCCGACGATTACCGCATCAAATACCTTACGAGCCGGAGCGTCTTCTTCCATGCGGGCGATGTGACCCAGCCAGCGGAGTCTTTGAATTTTGACTCGGCTTACTATATCAACATCCCCGTACAGCTCATACAGCTCGTGGTTCCATCTGATGCGATAAGCATCGCCAACGCAGATTGGACCAAAGATTTTGATTTTGCGGAGAATCTTTCTCTCGAACACTCCAAGAGCAGCTGCATCGGATTGCACCACTGTCCAGCACTCCGCACCATATAAGAGTACTGGAAGAATGAGCGTCCTGTAGAGTGTTAATATCGATTGCTGTTTTGAATAAACGCACCAAATTGTTCCGTTCGTGAAAAAGCTTCTGTAGCTGCGAAATAATGTGCCCCTTCAGCGTATTTAGGTATTGATTCCATAACGTGCATCTACTTCATTTCCATCATCACCAAGAACAAGAAATTTGTGTTCGCTGTCTGGGAACGGAAGCAGGGAACCGGCTTTATGATAGATTTGTTCTTTGATTTTAAAAGTTGGCATGAATTGTGCAGTTATAATTTCCGCACCAAATGGCGTCATTTGAAAGCAAGAGTTGTATTTCCTAATGTTCGACAGGAAATGCTTCGATTCTGCAGTGGTGCTTCAAGTTGAGGCAATTCCACATTCCCGGAAGCGCACCACAATCCTTTTCGTTCGTTTTTGAATTTGAGAGCCTGACGGTATATGCAGACCTGATGCATTCGTCCAATAACGACATTCGATTCGAGCTGTAATCAATAGTTGGATTATATCTGAATGCAAGACGATTGTATTGCAGGTTTTGATCTTCTGCAAGCTGTAAACGCGCTTCAGCTACCCTTGCCCTGTCGCGTTCATTATTTTGAGAATGAATCAAATCGATTGCTGCAGAACGCGACTGCCTAACTCTCAATCGTTTTCTCTCAAGCCTATCTGCTCGTCTTTCTGCTGATTCCTCGTTACTTACTTACTTACTGAACCTGAACAAAAAAATAAAATAGAGGGCGCAGCAGTAGGGGCACGGGGAAACGCGAAAAAAGTTATATATTCGCAAATGCAGATAAGCTATCAACATTAAAAGTAGACAATAACCGAGCTGGAACCTCAACGCATGTTGTCTAAAAATTTGGGCTTAAACGGTTCAGAACTTTTCAACTTTCTTCTTTCAATATGTTTTGAATGTTTGACAGGAAATGCTTTGATTCAGCTGGCTGCCTGTAGAGGGCGCAGCAGTAGGGGCACGGGGAAACGCTAAAAAAATTTGATTTATTTGCAACCGCAGATAAGCTATCAACATCAAAAGTAGACAATAACCGAGCTGGAACCTCAACGCATGTTGTGTAAAAATTTGGGCTTAAAAGGTTCAGACTTTTTCAAGTCTATGAAGGATGTAGACACGAACAGAGCATTTATATATATATAATATAGATAGATTAATTCCTAGTAATCGAAGTTCTCTCTGCAAGGGAATATAAACTTCGGCGTGCCGAAGTTGGCTTCGTCTTTTTAATGATCTTAATGCAATTTGGAAGAATAAACAAACTTCGGCGCGCCGATTCCGTATCCCAGGAAAACGTAAAATATCCAACAAATATTTATTTTTATTTAAAGGGATTCAGTGTCTCCTGGCTTTGACGAAGTTAGCTGAGGTTTCCATTTTAAATTATATTTATTTGTCCGTATTTTTTCAAAATACATACTTACATTATGTCAAGTAATTCTTTGCAAAACGGAAACGTTCAATAAGATTTTGTTTACATTAAAAATTAATTTTTTGTATTTTCTTTTTTTTTATGATGAGTAATAACGAGGCTAATATAACAAAACCAAAGTTTTACATTTTATTTTTGAATTTACAATTTTTTTCGGGTTATCCAAAGTATTACTTGACTAAATTCACTGTCACATGTGTGCCCCCTTACCATTTGCTCAAAATTAAATTTTGTTAAGTGAGGAAAAATTTATTACAAAAATTAAAACTAAGTGAGAGTTTTGCTTTTGTAATTGCATCTGTACCGTTTACGAAAAATATCAAATTTGTTCATGCAGGTGCTTACAGACCAAAAGTAGTATATTTCCTTTTAAATTTTAGATTCGTTACTTTTACAGAAATAAATATAAAAATGTTAATGCAATTGTTTTTTATATTATTGTTTACTTAAATGTATTACATATGTAAGAATAAATGTCTTTTATAATCATAATTTTATAAACAATTTCAGATACTTGAGTGCACAGCAAATTGCTGAACGAGCATAATCTCTCGCAGATAAGGCAATCTTTACAATCAATTTTCGGCTTGTCGCTTTGGGTGGTACGAAAAATTGCGTCTACCATGATGGGGACATCAAAAATGATTCCTTGACCGCACATTTTTAGTAAACTTGTGACACTTTGTGACACGATATAGGTATGTTTTTATGCTATTAGAAAATCAAGCTCCAGCATGTGCATTTTAGTCGGGACTAGTTAAGGATTAATTCAACTAGGAATTTCTAGGCATATGTTGTATGGTTTTGTTATGTATGAGTGTACGGGTGTCTCGGGTTTTAGTTTGTGAGTGAAAGTTAATTTGAGAGATGTGTGTACTTAGAGAGCATAGTATGTGTTGCTTCTCGCAGTAAACACTATTTAGCTGCAGTTTTTATCACCAGGGTTAAGAGAACTATCGCCAATTATCTGAGTACGCTCGAGAGTGCCATCAGTCTGATTTGTTTTGTTCGTCGCAGCCATAGCTTCGCGCCGCTGTCGTTTCATTTCCAACAACTGCTTCCTTTGGGCATCTCTTTTAAATACTGCAGCCGAATTCTTCGAGGATGACAATCCAGGTACACTCGCCTTGGTGTTTGATTTGGGTTTTAAAGTTACAGATCTTATCTGTGGCGCTTTATTGGGTAATGCGTCTGCTGCTGACGGTTCAACTATGCGTTGCTAAAATCGGAATGAATAATTTTAGATATCAGGGAGATCATGTATAACCAACCTTCCAATTGTTAGCTTTGAGCTGCTCAATATCTGCAAAAATTGAATCCAAGTGCACCACCTGCAAATAAACCATGTCCCAAAACCCTTGTAGGTCGTCAGTGGTTGTTGGAAACTCGTCTTCCGGGGACCGATTTACATTATTGTGGCATAAACCTGAATAAATGTATAGGTTTGATAAGTTGCATTGCATATTACGAAACTTTCTAAGACTTATACCCTCAAACTGTTTCATTTTTTGTGAAACCAAAAGCCTGGCTTTCCCCGAGGCAGATCGAAGCAATCCAAAAGTATCTTCCGTGATGTCAGGATTGTTCTATGGATTGTAAAGCATTAAACTAGGTGACAAACATAGACTGTATACCATTAACTCACAGCCAAGGCATCAGTGTACTTTTCAGCAATGGCGGCCAGCGCCAACAGACGAATTTGTTCGTCTTTGAGTAATTTAAGAAAATAGTTGCCATCCTTGATAGCATGCTCAATTTCGGTTTTGCTGTTAAGCTCCTCTGCTTCCAGTTGGACCTGTTTCAAGGACTGGTGATCAACCACATCAATTTGGCCAACTTCTGGCCTTATCTTATCATCTTTTATCTGGTGCATCTCAGGAGCAGGAGAGGAACGAGTGGTTACACCCCTCTTTGGTGAAACTTTGGGCAACTGGGCTCGAAACTCATGGCTAAGATGCCGGAACACGGGCAAGTCCAACTCTCCGCTCTCCTCTGAAGACAGAGACGGAGGATCAACAAACCGCTGCGTTGAAAAAGTGTTCAGTTTTTTTCGGAATTCCCCATAGTCCTTGCTGGGTGAGAGTTGTTTAAATTTCAGCTCCAACTCCGAGCTCTTCGGGGACTCCACTTTTCGTTGCTGCCTGGCCGAGGTCCGAGTTTCTGCCGCTGATGGAGATTGTCCGTGCTTTTTGGGGCTGTAAAAGCCCTGGGCTAGGGCGCCTGGACCGTAAAGACGCTCCACCCGTTGTTGTATAAAACTGCTGGTGCCTCCGTCCTTTCCATTGCTATTCAAATGACCAGCGTCCGGTCCGTTTTTCACGCCGTGGCCGTTGCTCCCATTGACTTCGCATGGGAGCTTACTGACCGGCGACGGCTGTTTTATAAGCGGCATGGTATGCAGAATCGGAGCTGCCAAAGAGTTGTTCCGCTTGCAGTACTGCAGGCCGCTGCAGGACGGACGTATCGGAGAGACCTCGCGCGACTTGTTGATATCCTGACGGATTTTGGAGTCGTATGTTGTCAAGTTGGAATATCCGTTGACGCAGCAAGCCAGGTTTAAGTAGCTGGGTTTTTTCTCGGTAACATCGATACTAACAGCAGCGGCTCCAGATGCGTTTTCAGGGCATGCATCGACACTGGTGGTATTTAAAACATGGACGGAATCCACGGCCGCAGGCGACAGCACCATGTGCACCAGGCCCGTACCGGGATCTAAGTAAGCGGTGGTTTGTTGTAAAGAGCGGAGAGTACAGCGCTCCCGTAGGTTGGCGGTGAACTCGCGGGTGATTTCCTTTACGGAAAGCGGTGTGGGAAAGTTTAGGCTGCCACTGGTGTCTGAAAACGCGAAATTTAGGTCAGAGCGAGGTATGTGTAGGAATGTTAAAATAAAATTAGGAACGAACAAACATAAATAAAACAAATACGTGCGCATGGTTGACTCCAACAAAAAACAGTAAATTGTCAGATTGAGCTTTAGCTTTATCAGCTCATATACCTGATATGTCGGAAGAGTCTGCGTCTACATCAAGTGAACAGCTGCCAATCGAATCCTGGCTGCGATCCATTAGAACTTTGTCTGTGGAATGGAATGATTTCGTTTCATATGGTCGACGGGTATTTTAATTATACACAAGTCCGAACCGAGTGGGAAATAAAAACTGATTGTTAATTTCCGGAAGGCATGACTCAGCAACACTACCGATCTAGCGCCTACGTATGTATTGCTTTTTAGCAGAGCATGCAAAATGCATAAAATAAAGATATAGCTCATGGACGAGGGACGTGGCGGTGGCTAACTATTTGCCATTAATGCAAAGCAGAACCGCGATCTGTACGGCACTGTTTTCCAAAACAGATGTGAGCCGTAATACCGAGCTGGGTCTGACTGTGTGTTACTGAAAAGATTGTGACGCCAACGGAGGAGCAGCTCTAACGGCATTGTCATCAATATTGCCAGTTCCGCTTTGCTGGCGCTTTACCGTTTTTTTTCGCAATGTTGCGTCTTCTTTCTCCAAAGACAGCACAAACACAACCGCATTCTCTTAAGTATGTAAATATGCACATATGTATGTATAAATGCAGATATGACTGCTGAATAGCACGACTTAGACCGGATAACAATTGGCACCAAACCCACTCGTGCAGTGTACAAGTCAGACGAAAATGGAGTAGCACACGCTGCCCCGTATATGCACACAACTATTTATAATGCGGCGGTATCGCAGACTACTGAGGCAGTCCAAGTGGAAAGCAGAAATACAAACGAACTGGATGGAGCCGCACACGCATTTTAATTCTATTTTGGGCGCTTAAACACAGCAATGACCTTACGCAGCCAACGCAGGGAGAGTTCCTAGTGCAGTACAGCCAATTCGAGTCCTTCAGCTGGATTAAGTGCCAGATTGTAGCCAATACAAAAGTACAAATAAATTACTTTTAGTGCTGGCAAAACATTGGAGCACTATCGATACCACCGATGTTTCGATATTTTTTTTCCAACACATCGACTTTTTGCACTATCGATATTTTATTATATATATTTATATATAGATATATTTTTTTTATTTTTCATATCTTACACAAGTAGATAAAAATATTAATTTGATTAAAATTCATTAACAGATCGGCTCTCATCCAGAGGCATCGGTAAAAAAAACCCAATTTGCGAAAGCAGTTGAACGGTCTGTAACAAGTATCCTAGCTTGACAAAGTTGTTCTGATTAGAATCTGATCTGGAATCTGCGGCAAACCTTATCGAATTCGAATTTTTTAAATTATTATAAAATATATTATATACAGTTACAAGGGAAGCTTAAAATTGTAAATACTTAAACATCCAATAAAAACAATTAAATTGTTGTAATCCTGAAGTGGATTTCACTCGTAAATCCATATTTCTGATATTTGCTCATTGAGTAAACTATTATTCTACAATTAAACTGGAATTAACAATAACGTTGCGAATATTAAAGTAATATAAAATATTTTCGACTCGTCGTCGCCATTCAGTATATTGCTGCTTATATATTTTTAGTCTAACAGAGATAAAAAATTACTAAAATCTAATTAAAGAATTTATTTCAATTAAATAAGTATAAACTATACATTACTAATGGTGCCACTGATGTTATATTTAATTTTTTATATTTGTATTTATATTATCGATATTTCAACATCATAATAGCATACTTTTTTTACGTTATCTTTATGCTAATCATGGTGTGTTAAATTTTGCATCATGATGAGTGATCATACGCGTTCAGTAGACCTATCGATAAAAATCCATCACTGATCAGTGAACATGGTCTTCTGCTGAACGCAATTAATGAAATGTTATTTATTGTTGGTACATACATATATAAAATAAAACTAATTATATTAACATATATATATTATGCTCGTTAAACATTAATCATAATAATAAAAATTTTTTGAAATAGTATATATGTAAAATATGCATTTAAAAATCGAAAGTATCTTTAATTCGTAAAAACATCGAGAAAATCGATATAGAAAAACATTGTTTTTATGTCAGCTGTAGAACAATAAATTACTTCGAGTTAGCGATGAGAAGCTCCAAAAATATCGTTATTACTATGCGTGTATGCTATACTTTTTTGTATCAAATGTTTAAAAAATACATACTAAAGTATCAACACAATATGCCCCCTCTGGACGCAAACCAATTAGTGTGGCGCCATCTGGCAATTAAGCCTTAGCGCACCCTGGCGGCATTGGATTTAAAATTTGAGGTCCGGGAACACCCTTAAAAATCTTTTGCTTTTTGCCATTAGATTTAACTTTTTCAAAGTGTGATACCAGGAAAAAATTTTAAATTTAAACAAGAAAGGAAGCTAACTTCGGCTTAACTTTGTGTTAAAAAACAATGAAGTAATACCTGCTTTCATTTCATTCACCTATACATATTATATTTGCAGTTTTTCATTCACAGATTTGCATTTTTCCTCCACATCTAACGATCGTTTTGTATGGCACCTATATGATATAGTCGTCCGATTTTCATGAAATTTGACGCAAAATTTAAGACTAATATAAAATGGCTATACTTTAAATTTGATGAAAATCTGTTGAAAACCGAAAAAGTTATAATTTTTAATTGTATTAATTTCTCGATCGTTCCAATGGGAGCTATATGCTATGGTAGTCCGATTTTCATAAAATTTTATGCAAAATTGTAGAGTATAGTAAAATGGCTATATCTCAAATTTGATCTAATTTTATTGAAAACTGAAAAAGTTAACATTTTTTTTGTAAAAATTTTCCGATCATTCCTATGGCAGCTATATGATATAGTCGTCTGATCCGGCCCGTTCCGACATATATACGAGTGAGAGTATATAGAAGGCTAACTACAAAGTTTCATTCAGATAGCTTAAAAACTGAGAGACTAGTTTGCGTAGAAACGGACAAACGGACAGATGGACAGAAGAACAGACGGACATGACTAGATCGACTCGGCTGTTGATCCTGATCAAGAATATATATAGTTTATATTGTCGAGGGTGCCTCCTTCACTGCGTTGCAAACTTCTGACTGAAATTATAATACCCTGCAAGGGTTTAAAAAGGCAGCGGAAATATATGAAAATACCGAATGAGCAATTAATGACTACAATTGTATACAAATTAAAAATTTATCACTTTTCTTGTAATTACCTTGTCGTTATTAGAGCTTTCATTAAAACATTACACGAGACAACTACCAAAGATCTTTCAGAATTAGTCGCGTTTAGTCCTGTATTTTTGTTGTCCACCAGTGTTATCAATAAAAAAAATGCTATAAAAAATAACAAAAAACTTAAAATTTAAAACTTTTTTTCGAAAGGTCTACCAGAATAATTCCTTTCGTACACTTTCTTAAAAAATCTTAAATAAAGTTGTTAAAAACTGGAAAAATTAAAATTTGTTCTAAATGTTATCCGATCGTTCCTATGGCAGCTATATGATATAGTCGTCCGATTTAAAAAAAATATTAACCGAAGTTTTATAATAATACAAAATGGCTATATCTGAAATAAAATGCAAATTTGTTGAAAATTGGGAGATGGAATTTTTTCAAAAAAAAATTTTCCCATCGTTCCTATGGCAGCTATGACATATAGTCGATATTTTATAGGGTCAGCAATATCGGATTAATAAATCACTATGGGTACAAAGTAAAACAATTCTTGTTGCTGCTCTGCAGGTTCAATGCGAAAAAATAATAATTCATTTCTTTACTTTTTGGTTTATAAAAAGATAATGATTTCCATTCAGTATAATTTCTAATAATAGTTTAAAGTAAACATTAAGTGTGAATTTTAAAGAAATGAAAAATGTATTGTCTGTTAAATATATATTTCTGTAGCAAAGAAAATCACACGCACATAAACAAGTGAATCTTTCATTGTCAGCTTTAATTGTTTTAATAATTTTTATTTGGCTTCTATGGTACGTCTTATGGTTAAACTATTTGTAAGTACAAATCTTTCTGTGTTCATTGCTTCGATTATTCGTCATTGCTAACAACCTAATGACATCGTTTTCAAGCGCTTGAATCTCTATTTGTCAGCAGAGGCGAAGCAATTAATGCACCATAATACTACATACATATTAATATGCATTATCTTATATAGAGAGGGTTCTCTAAACAAAATTCATCTCTAACTATTGAATTTGGGCAATAAATATTAAATACATATCAATATGTATATGCATGTTACATAATGTTATATACATACATAATTATTTAAAATTTATAAATAATAATCAATTAACAATATCGTCTGCTACGCAAGTACACAAGTTTAGGGTCCATTACATATTTACAAATGAATGTTAACACGTAAGAAAGGAAGCACTGGTGTTGCTTCAAAGAAGAGGTTCCTACAGCGCTTTGAAAACAGTCAAGCTGAAGTTTAGGCATAACGACAATTAAGCGATTGCCGAAATATAAAACTAATACGTATTGATTCAGCTATACATATGTATATGTACCAAGCCCAACAGCATTCCTTAGGCGTTATACATAAGTAGGCATCGATTATTTGCATGGAGTGCAACTATATCGGCTCGGTTCCTTTTCAAAGCTGTCTCTGGAGTCGGATCCGTCACACTGACTGGAATACAGGTAAGGACAACCGGTACTTGCGCATAGGATATGCAAGTTTTTGCCAGCTTCTTGTTTGCCACCGACGTTTATTTCGCTTTTGATTCCGGTTCCCGTGAGCAACTGTTAGTCTAGGCTGTGGGGCGGAGTACTGTTTGGACCGCCCAGTATAAACGATGTTGGGCTGTGTACCGAGATGCTTTCGAGGTCCAGTCCGCCGTCACCCTTCTCCATCATGCCGCTGCCGTCCTGCTTCATCATCATGCGGCGCCACTTGGCCCTAGCATTTTGAAACCAGACCTGCGGTAAACCGATAAGTGCCGGTGAGCGACTGCTATTTGATCTCATGGCTGCCCTCACTCACCTGTAGGACTCTCTTTGGTAAACCAGTTTTCTGTGACAATTGCTTCAGATCCTTGGCATCGGGGTTGTGATTGATAGCAAAGTAGGACTTCATGGTGCGCAGCTGGTGATGCTTGAAGGATGTACGCATTCTCTTAGTCCGCGAAGAAGAGCTCATGTGCGAACCGCGTCCGAAGTCAACGTATTCGGTGTTGAGATCTGCAATCATTCCAAAGACTCTTGTAAGTCTTTCTGCTTTTACTGCACCTTTGGACTTTTACGATTTGGGCACATAAAAACTGGTGCTGCAGCTTCAATGGCGCCAATATCCAGCTTCAGTGCCGATTTCAGCACCGCTGATCACACTGTGACCATAAAGACCCGAACTACACGATGGTCATTTTTATGATCGGCAGTTGCGTCGCGAAGTTACTGGGAATTTACAACCTACCTATATTGGCGGTGAACGCCTCGATATCCTTGGGCTTGCGCTTGCGCGGCCTGCCCTTCTGACGCGCCGGCTGTGGCAGGCCGGTGATAACGTGAGACGCGGGCACGAAAATGCCTGTAGGAACAATGCTCCGACTGGGATCCGAGTGCGGGCTCGAGGAGTCGTTGTGCGGCGACCCAAACTGGGCGCTGTACGGATAGGTGGCGCTCATGCTGGAAGAGGCGGCATCGCCCTCCCTCGCTATGCTGTAGTGGGTCCTACGAGTGATGTCTATTAGTGATGGAATTGAAAAAATTACGGAGTACGCTTGATGCTCACCTGCAGTATATAAGGGAATCGATAATACCGTACTGGTCGCCCTTCGTCAGGGGCGTGTGACAGACCGTGCAGCAGAAGCAGTTGACGTGAAAGACCAGGTTTCGGGCGCGCATCACTAACTCGGTGGAGCTGATCGAGGCCAGGCAGCGAGAGCAGCGGCGAGTACCAAAAAAACTGCAAACGAAAATAATGATTGCCTTTTATCAATCGACGCATAAAAGC